GGTCATTTTCAGACAAACATTATGAAATCATTTACTTATGGTTTGTGATGCAGCTGCAGTCAGATCTAGTTCAGCTTCATCTTTCAACAAATGTTTCTTTGTGAACTCTCCATGACACTGTGCCTCGTTTACAAAACAAAATGCTCCGACCAATCCTCTGACACTATCCCGGGGTGCCATTAAAAATAAATTATCCACTTGTTACTTACGCTGGGATCCTTCATCTGTACAAAGACACTAACGAGCTTTTTAAACCAAATGCGTCAAAGCAAACGTTCTTTCACTCTATTTGTCCTGACGACAGACTCAAGCACGTGGACTGTTTCAGAAAGCAAACGCGCATCTGTATACTGTATCCAGTGTAGACAAGATAGCGAACATTTTGATTGGGCGATGCGCCCTCCACAGATGATATAAATACATATAAATAAATTTAGACCACTTAACTTAGTGATTGCTATCGGGATGTGAAGAGATTTTCAACCAGCATAACAAAAAAAATTTTTTTGAACCAAATCACCTACCCTGCCTTTAACAATTCACAAACCACATTCATTTTTTTTCTTCTTTTTTTTTTCCAAGACATTTTTTTCATTGGATTCACCAATTTTAAACAGCAGCATATTGAAAATAGAATTCTCACAAAGGACTCTGTTCTGGAGGGAAGTTCTGCATCCCACTATTGTTTCTCCTGTATAACAGCAACTGCTTCTCAGAAGATCCTTCATTGTTTCTTAAACAGGGGTTCCACAGAGACACTTCAGTGATCAAACAGTCCTTGGAATTCTTTAATATGTAGCTGAAATGTAAAAGAAAGGTTGAACTTTAACTTGGTTTGAATATGTGTGCTTCATTTCCACTGACTCAGGCTGCGAGCAGAGCTCTCTTTAAAGGTATAGTTCACCCAAAAAGCTGCGCAAAAAATCGCGCGAATATGAACGTGGTTTTGCGCAGCTCCTCAGTGAACAACGGCTCTGTGTAGTTAATGCTGCTCAATGTGAAAGCACGCAGGTGATGGAGATTTACCGCTGATTACAGAACCGGATTTCTGACAAGATGCGCGTTAAATATCGCATGCGATTTATCGTGCAGCCCTACCCAAAAATGAAGATTCTCTCCTATGGTTTGAAATAATATGAGGGTGCAAAATTAATAGCAGAATTTAAGCATTTTTCTATTAGTTCCTCACAATTTGCTAAATCTAAGATCCACAGTGTTCTTCTGTTCCACTGTATGGCTCTTAAAAGTTACGTTTACGTGATTGCTATGGATCCTGTCACAGCAAAACACCTTGGAAAGAAAGAAAAGACTGGCTCAGAGAACACTGAAAAAATTCCAGCAGAATCTATAAATCAAAGCTGTGCTACTGTAGTTACTCTCACAAATGTCTGCAGAAGCTACTTCCTGTGTGGAAGTGGAGCGTTTGTAAAAGGAAAGCAGCGAACCACGCTCCAGGATATGTGTGAGTCAGTGAGGGCAAAAGCGTTGAAGGATCATTTACAGATGTAGGGCTTGTCTGGATGAAGACAGCACTCTTACTATGATGTGAAATCAGGTATTGCCACATGCAAATGCTGAATTCATGTTTTTGAAGTACATTTTTGTGTATGTTAAACTGTCACTAATTGGACTGCATATGTGTGTTACTTTTGACGCTTCAGAAAGTTCTGGAAAATTACACCTTGATTCTTGAAAATAATTTCATGCACAACAAAGTTTATATATTGATCACACATAAAAATGTGATGAAATAAAAATGAATAAAACCTAATAAAACTTACAGAAAACACAACACAATTACATTTTAAAAGGAAAACTGAAAATATAAAAATAAAAAACTAATTCCAAACATTAATAAAAACTCTAAAACTGTCTCAACGATGCTAAAATAACACTCAACATTCAATGCTGATAATAACAAAACAGCCAAATGCCGACCGATGCATGACAGCTGCTCTGTAGAAATGTAAAAATGCTATTTTCTAAATTATTTAACTATTTAACTAATTATGATGATTGTTGTGTTTTTAGGTCTTCGCCATTTGTGCCTTTGCCACCACTGGTGGTTACGTTGGATCCACTCAGTTCACTCTTAATTGTGGGAGTAAAAAAGACAACGTTACTGCTAATTTTGGATATCCTTTTAGGTAAAGCATCCAGATCTCTACTATATATATTATTTATAAGTGAAAGTGTCATTTAAAAAAAAAAAATAAATAAATTGTTAAAATGCTGTCCTGCTGTTAGTCATGCAATGAGTAATCCACATGTATGTTGATTGAAGAAAGTAAAGGTTAACTGGAGAGACAATAAATTGAGCCCCAGTAAACATGTGACTTCTACTTCTTACTAGGCTTCCGAGTCAGCCATATGAGATTCCTCACTGCAATCACAGCAAGAACATGACTTACCTGCAGGGAGATTTCTCCTCCTCGGCTGAGTTCTTCGTCTGTGTGGGCGTCATGGGCTTTCTGTACTGTACTTTCACCATCATCCTGTACTTGGGCTACCAGCAGGTTTACAGGGAGTCTAACCGTGGCCCCACAATTGTGAGTCATCACTCATTTTTTATTTGGAAATATTACTGTGATAATATGAATGTCATTAATATCAGTGGAGTTATTTTGTATTGCATTTTTAAATGCACTTGTCATGAATATCATGAAACGATTGGAAAATTATCTTTGTGATTCAGAATATTTGTGAAAATTAAAATAAAATTAAAACCATGTTTAGTGAGGATTTCTAAATTGGTTTGATTTACAGTTTATTAATTTGTGGCCAACCAATTTGAGCTTTTTTTTTTTTCCAGTAGACATTTAAATATTTTTTATAGCTGTACATATGGTTGCAAATAAGAGCTTTATTTAATACATTTTATGTACATTTATTTATTTTTAAAATAATTTATTTGAAAACTTTTCCAAAGTATTAACAAAGTGCTTCATCCAATTGCAGAATTGTAAATTATTTCCCTTTACACCAAAATAAATTTAAACATAAATATTTTAATATTTTTAAAAAACTTGAAACTTTACTGTTCATTTACAAATGAACATATCCATATAAAACATTTTACATATATATATATATAAAATGTTTAATACATATTCATTATATATTTCTATGTTTAATTATATATTCATATTTAACAGCAATTTTACATTATTTAATCAATTCACTAATGAAATTTTAATTTTAACAGAAAACATTAATTATCCATTGTGAATATTGTACATGTTGGAAGTGATTTTCTTTCATCCGTTGGCCTAATTTTGTGCTTTTCCTTTTGACAGACACTTTATCAGAATGTCATTATCCCTACCATTTCCATGAGCAAGGATTGATATCCCAAACTTTCCTCTGTTTCCTCTCCAGGATCTGATTGTTACTGGGATCTTTGCTTTCTTGTGGCTGGTTTGCTCCTCAGCCTGGGGAAAGGGTTTAACAGATGTCAAATATGCTACGAATCCTGACAGGCTAATAATAGCATGTCTGCCTGAAGATCACTGTGTGGTGAAGACCTACCCTTCAATGGGTCATCTCAACTCCTCCGTGGTAAGTACGATTACTAACTGTTAGTTCTGCTCTATTTTGTTTCAAATTAAGCCTGGTTAATATCTAGCACATTTCATTGTGCAATATTTGTTTTATTATGTAGGCTATGTATACATTATGTAGTTCACATGTCCTACTCACTCACGTTTATATTTTATACATGCATTTCTAAGGCTTTTAAATTATCGAAATGATCAAAACTTTGCTGAAAAACCTGTTGCGCACCATTTACTACATGCCTTTTGTTGTCTGATTGATAGTTCACACTTTTTAGCCAGTAAAAGGCCTATTACTATAATTGTAAATATGTCCACCTTCAAGTTGTGGTTCACATGTCATTTTCCTGTGATATCTTTAATGATTTTGATGAAGTAAATATAAGAATAAGCTTTATATTATGAGTAAAATTTCAAGATGATCACTTACTGGACTGAAGCAGCTTAGGTTTACTTGTTTGTCCATACGTCATTTATTAGAAAACTTGTTTTAATATGCGAGTATCAAATATAATACAGGATTTTAAGGAAAGTTGTATTTCTTCATCTTTCAAACATCATTGTATTGATTGTATTGTAATGCATTATATGTTTTAAAGGGATAGTTCACCCAAAAAATGAAAATTCGGTCATTAATTACTCACCCTCATGTCGTCCCAAACCCGCAAGACCTTCGTTCATCTTTTGAAGACAGATTAAGATATTGTTGATGAAATCCGAGAGTTTTCTGACCCTGCACAGACAGCAATGCAACTGACACCTTCAAGGCCCAGAAAGCAGGGTTGCCAGGTTTTCACAACAAATCCGCTCAATTGCCAAAATACACGTTTTATGGGGGGTTCCCCTGGTAAAATTTGCATTCCAGGGGCTAAATATAACATTATTGGGGTCACTTAAACCCACGAACATGAAAAAAAAACAAAAAACATGGCAACAGTGTTAAAGTAGCCCAATTCCGCAGGAAAACCGCAGACTTGGCAACACTGCCAGAAAGGACATCATTAAAATAGTCCATGTTACATCAGTGGTTCAACCGTAATTTTAAACAAAAATAACTTTATTCAACAATTTCTACTTTTCCGTGTCAGTCGTCTTTTTTTTAGCCCTGCGACTTGCAGCTCATGTGTTAAAATTGCTTGCATCACATTTTAAAAATAATCTCAATGGGAGAAAATTGTAGTCCATATTGATAACATTATCATTCTCCTTCTAGTAATTTATTTGTAAGCAAATGAGCATTTTAGAAATAAGCAGTTGAAGTATTACATATATCTTTCTCTTTACTGCATCTTCCAGCTCTTTGGATTCCTAAACCTGATATTGTGGGCAGGAAACTGCTGGTTCATCTACAAGGAGACTCCATTTCATAAGCCGGCCAATCCACCGCCCAACGTCGAGGCGGGAGTTTCCACCTCCTAATTCGACAAGACGGGCTCCTTCCTCTCCTCTCCATTTGTTCATAAAGCAGAGGACATCACCATTTGTTCATGCCGACACATGTTGAAAAGAAACTACACTTTGATATGCAAAAGCTTCATTTCTAGCATCATGCATTGCAGTTCACTACATTATAAATGCTCTAAGCTGAATTCTTTATGAATATTTGTTTTTTTTTATTTTAGTGTCTGTTCAATGGCACTGTCAGAAGCTAATTTTGTCAAGCAGGTAAAAAAGAAACCAAATTTTATTAGACCAGTAGCATTTCAATTACAACTTAGAAGTAAAACTGTTCTAGGTTATTGATGTTTTTCATTATTATTAATTTGTCTAATTTGATATGAAGATGACCTGCATTTCAGTAACTCTAAATGTCCATTACAATCAGACCTCATGAGAAACGAACATTGCAGTTGAAATGTCTCTGAGCACTTAAAACACTAGCACACTAATATCTAGCTCTAGACATGTAAAACTTGTCGATCCTTGTAGTTTTTAATAACTATTTATTGGTTTAAGTGCCTTGTTCTTCATAGGATGTTTTTCCACAGCCACGTCTGAGTCATCTTACATTTTTCAAACGGAAAAATTTGTCTTAGTTTCCGCCCTAAAGCCTCTGATATTTCGTCTGTAACCTTTATTTTAAATGTTTGTGTGAATTCTCTTTGTTGACTCTTTTTGAAGTGGTATTTGGTAATAAATTACTATGCCAAAGGCCATATTTCATTTGCTATCGGGAAAAAATGTTAACTATTCAACACTAGACATTGTTCAACAGAAGGAAACACTTGTTTGATAGTTTTTCTACTGTTTAGAGTAGTAATGATGTCATTATTTGTATTTGGCTGTTATTTGACTTGACACTGTAAATGAAGCGTCTGTATCACATGGGTTGATGTTTATATTTACAGAAAGAACATTTAATTTTGTGCATCTGTGGCATGCTTTACCATCGTATTTTTACAGCAAGAAATGTTTGAGGGGGATTGCATTTAGTTAAATCTTAAAAAAATAGAATGATTGTTCATTAACCGTGATCGTCTGTGTGCAGTTTATGTTCTGGTAAAAAATATTTGTTTCAATCTAAATTGTCAAGGTTTTTTTTTTCCCCATTAATATCCTCAGTAGTTGTTCTAATCCTAAAATGAAACTATCCAATGCCACATCTAAACTTTTTAATCAACATAAGTAGACTTAAGCACATTAAATCATTGATATAAATGATTATAGGAAAATAAGTTTGTCTATAATTGTGATTAAAGAGGAACAAAAGTGCCATTTAAACGTTTTTTAAGTCTTTCCTCAGGTCACATACTGACTAATTTTTGTCGTGGAGCGATCCTTGAATTTGGTTGTGACTTTTGGAAAATATAGGCCATATTTTTGTTGTGTTATATCTCTATCATAAGTTCAGAAGGAAAATCTCCACGAGGCTGTTTGCAGTTCTGGTTTGTATTAAAAGAGGAGTGCAATGATTTGTATCGTGAAAAGCACTGTACAAATAAACTTGAATAAACTTGAATATTCTAATTTGCTGAGATGGTGAATTGGTGGGTTTTTGTTAAATGTGAGCCAAAATCATCACAATTAAAAGAACCAAAGACTTAAACTACTTCAGTCTGTGTGCATTTAATTTATTTAATACACGAGTTTCACAATTTGAGTTGAATTACTGAAATAAATGAACTTTTCCACGACATTCTAATTTATTGAGATGCACCTGTATATTGGTTCGTGTTTTATTTCCAAAAGGCTGCTGTTTACTACATAACCACTAGATGGTAGTATAGTAAACATAATAAATCCAACAACTAAATTACACTGGTGTCACGTACGTTTCTTTTGGGCCGAAGGTAAAAAAAAAAAAAAGGCAAATCATTGCATTGCTTATGATATGAAGTCTTGAATAAGGTAATAATTTAACTAGAACACCAACGATTAAGGTAAAATCTAAACAGACAAAATGAAGCCTATTTTAGAACCATTAAGATTTTTTGTTTGTTTTTCATATGCTTAATTGTGACCCTGAAGCACAAAACCAGTCATAGCACGGGTATATCTGTAGTCGAAAGGATCGCTTTTTCTTTTATGCCAAAAATCAGTAGAATATTAAGTAAAGATTATGTTCCATGAATATATTTTGTAAATTTCCTAAGGTAAATATATGAAAACTTAGTTTTTGATTAGTAATATGCATTGCTAAGAACTTCATTTGGGCAACTTTAAAGGCGATTTTCTCAATATTTAGATGTTTGGGTTTTTTTGCACCCTCAGATTCCAGATTTTCAAATAGTTGTATCTCAGCCAAATATTGTCCTATCCTAACAAACCATACACCAATGGAAAGCTTATTTATTCAAAAAATTGACCCTTGTGACTAGTTTTATGGTCCAGGGTCACAATGCCATGAAAATGCCACAACGCTTATAAAAGGGTTTATTTTATGTAGAGTAAAATATATTTTTATATTTTTTCATATATTAAGAACGTGAAATATTTCTATTCAATTTCATATCAATGTACTTGCATTACAAATCTATAAAGGGTTTGGCTTCGTCCCATAAAAATACTGTTAAACAACTTATTAATAATGCAAATAAAATTAATAAAAACTAACATGAAAAAAAATGTACATTTAGCATGATAAGTGTGCGCGCACGTGTGTTCCCCCTCCGCCGTAAAGATTATGTTCCATGAATATATTTTGTAAATTTCCTAAGGTAAATATATGAAAACTTAGTTTTTGATTAGTAATATGCATTGCTAAGAACTTCATTTGGGCAACTTTAAAGGCGATTTTCTCAATATTTAGATGTTTGGGTTTTTTTGCACCCTCAGATTCCAGATTTTCAAATAGTTGTATCTCAGCCAAATATTGTCCTATCCTAACAAACCATACACCAATGGAAAGCTTATTTATTCAAAAAATTGACCCTTGTGACTAGTTTTATGGTCCAGGGTCACAATGCCATGAAAATGCCACAACGCTTATAAAAGGGTTTATTTTATGTAGAGTAAAATATATTTTTATATTTTTTCATATATTAAGAACGTGAAATATTTCTATTCAATTTCATATCAATGTACTTGCATTACAAATCTATAAAGGGTTTGGCTTCGTCCCATAAAAATACTGTTAAACAACGTATTAATAATGCAAATAAAATTAATAAAAACTAACATGAAAAAAAATGTACATTTAGCATGATAAGTGCGCGCACGCGTGTTCCCCCTCCGCCCACGGGAGCGCGCAGTGTGACGTCAGCGCCTTGCCGCGCAGTGATGATGGCGGTGCGTGAACGCGCAGTTAAAGTAATGGCTGCTCTGGAACGGCGGGTGCCTTGTCTCGATGATTTCGTGGGCCAAAGCTGGAGTGTCTGGACGGAAAGAGCCAACCTGACAGCATCGGAGGGTGAGTGAGCACCTCGTCGCCGCTATTTCTCCATCCACCACCAAAAAGTCTCACGGATGTGCTTTATTTTTCGTGGAAAAGGCACGGCATCCCATACCATGTTACCCAAACAAAGGACCTGCGGGGTCCTAGCGCCGGCCGGGTCACGCGCTTGCGCTCTCCCTCGGATCAGTGTCGTCATAATAGAACGTGTTCCGCGTTCGTTTTGGAACTTCAAATGAAACGAACGCACTCCGTTCTAAACCACGAATCTCCTTTTGTTCGGCAGGCACACCACCAAACAGTTCATAGTGTAGGGATCAAATGCAGGTAGTTTTTATTTTGGCCCCACCCACAGAAGAGCTTGTGCTTCACAGATGCCCAGTTCATGACACAGATTGAATTCTACACTGAAAATCTTGGGAAATAAAACCTAAACTATTGACTGGATCTCATATTAAGATTCTCATTAAAGCCCACAGTATGCTTAATTCAACATGTGCCCCCTTTCTCACAGTTTTAACTTAGTATATTGCATATAAGACTGTAACCACACATATTCTGGACCAAATATAGTCCACCTTAGAAGAGCCCATTATAGTGAAGTGACGTGAAGTGAAGTGAAGTGACGTGACATGTGGCCAAGTATGGTGACCCATACTTGGAATTAGTGCTCTGCATTTAACCCATCCCCATACCATGTTACCCAAACAAAGGACCTGCGGGGTCCTAGCGCCGGCCGGGTCACGCGCTTGCGCTCTCCCTCGGATCAGTGTCGTCATAATAGAACGTGTTCCGCGTTCGTTTTGGAACTTCAAATGAAACGAACGCACTCCGTTCTAAACCACGAATCTCCTTTTGTTCGGCAGGCACACCACCAAACAGTTCATAGTGTAGGGATCAAATGCAGGTAGTTTTTATTTTGGCCCCACCCACAGAAGAGCTTGTGCTTCACAGATGCCCAGTTCATGACACAGATTGAATTCTACACTGAAAATCTTGGGAAATAAAACCTAAACTATTGACTGGATCTCATATTAAGATTCTCATTAAAGCCCACAGTATGCTTAATTCAACATGTGCCCCCTTTCTCACAGTTTTAACTTAGTATATTGCATATAAGACTGTAACCACACATATTCTGGACCAAATATAGTCCACCTTAGAAGAGCCCATTATAGGTCTGATTATTGGAGGGCACAGGTCCTTCTCAAGGTTTCTATGGTTACGGCCCATTGAATTAGTGTGTTTGGAAGGTTGGATTTATATAAGATGCCCATATGAGATGTGTTGCTAAAGCAATGATGATAATGCCTGGAAGTCTGTTCTTCTATAACGGTAATGTTTTATGTACCCGTTCTAACATAAACTTCCTCCAACCATTTTTCATAGGGTCAGATGGAGATGAATACAGCAAGAATGGCAAAAAAACAGTGGAAACCATGACACTGAGGAAAGAGGGTAGGTGTTGTAAATTTTCCTTTGATTTCAAGGGGACACAACGGTATTAACATAAACCCAATTAGTGAAGGACTGATACATAAGCCGATTAATTGACTGGTGTTTGGCTGTTTTGAGATTTTTGACATTAAAAACATGGTGGTTCTTCCTGTCAGGTCCAAATTTTATAAACAGCCGTATCAGTGGTTAATATACATAAATGTTCTTTTGTGAAATTCAAGTTCACATGTCGTTTAATTTCAGTAGTTTAAGTTAAACAGAGCTATTACAGTGTTTTACTGTGAATTCATGTAAATTACCCTGTTTAAACTGTGCAGTTTACTTGAATTCAGACTATCGGCCTTATATAAGCCATAAACCAGTCTTCTCTTTAAATTTTGGCATCAGCCATTGAAATTCCCATATTAGTCAACCTGTAAACCTATTCTAACATACTATATTTTCATCCTCCTTGTAAAACCCCTTCAAATTTAACATTTCTCTGAAAGGGTTTTAATGATGAACTTTGGAGTTGATGTTTTTTCAGCTATGCGGTCAACCATTACTTTTTTAAAATTATTTTTATAGATTTATTTTTGGCGTTTTTTGCCTTTTTATTTTGATAGAACAGTTGGTAGACAGGAAGCGAATTGGGAGTGAGAGAGAGTGGGGCAGGATCAGAAAATGTCCACGAGCTGGGATTCGAACTCGAGATGCCCGAAGCACAACATCGCTATATGTCGGCGCTATTATATTATTCATATGTGTATAATATAATTTTTTCTTCTATTTTTAGTTTTAATAGAGGAGTTTTAATTTAATTGTGCAACCAGCAGTGTTTTCAGCCAATGCTGATAACCTTAAGATGATCAAATATTGGACTATTACTAGTAGGCACTGTAGAAACATTTTCTGTAGTTTGAGTTTTCAAACAATGATTTATACACACACAGAATTAATCTTTCTCTTTGAGTGCATTATTTTTCAAACAAAGCGAATTTTCCCTATTGTTTGGTATGCTTCTGCAGATATGTCCATCTTCGGACATTATCCTGGGCACGATGACTTCTATCTGGTGGTTTGCGGTCACTGCAGTCAGTTAATATATTATTCATATGTGTATAATACAATTTTTTCTTCTATTTTTAGTTTTAATAGAGGAGTTTTAACTTAATTGTGCAACCAGCAGTGTTTTCAGCCAATGCTGATAACCTTAAGATGATCAA